GGGATCATGACCTGAGCCGAAGGCAGTCGCTTAACCAACTGAGCCACCCAGGTGCCCCATCAGTCTTATTTCTAAAATAAAGACATTTTAATTCTGGAAAAATGCCCTATCAATCGAGCCATCTATAGTTTCTCAGGAGACCTCTCAGGAATCATCTCTGACAAAGGATGTCAATATATGGGAGAGAGAGGAAGAAAGAAACTCTGCTATCATATGTGTTCCCCAGAACTAGGGAGCAGCCTGAGCGGCTTGCCCCCCTCAATCCCCTCCATCATAAACTCATAAGAATGGGAATAAAGAGGGAAGCACGGTGTATGTTTTTTCTTTTTCAATTAACATGAACTGAAATTTTAAAAAACACAAGCCTAACATAAAAGCTTCTTCATAAAGCAAGCTGAACATCGCAGTCAGAAGTGAGGTGGCCGAGCATTGTTATGGTGCACAGAGTCAATCAGGCTCAGAGGGGTAAGAGGCACGCGTCCCTGCTCCACTTTGCCCCATTTCAGTCCTTCTGCAGCCTGTACCAAGTATGTCATGGATGTAAGAGGCCATTTTCAATCTAAATCTTGTTATAGATTAATAAGCAAACATTTTCTTGCTTATTATGCAATTTATCATGATGAAAATTACATTGGACTCCTCAAGGCTACATGCTGATACATTCATTTATTTAGAGCTGTGTATAGAGAGTTATACTAATCTTCATGACAGAAAGGATGTAATAGCAAGATTTAAATTACCTACTGAAGAACTAAAGTATTTGTGTCTGTGGACATACTGCATGTAGATAAAACACAGTGCATCTTTATGTTTGCTGATATAAGCTTCATGTAAACTGATTTAAAAACAAAATAAAACAAAATATTAAATACTACGCCTAAAATAAAGCCCATCACTTTTCTCAACAACAAAACAAGACTGTATCCTCTTGAAATTGTGTTTAGATCAGCTGTGAAAATAGGCTATAAAATTAGGTCAAAACAGAACTGGAAGGTATGCAGGGCAGCTGCAGCTAACGGGAGGGCAAAGGGTTGGAAATATGTTCTGGGCTTTGCACAAAGGCCAGCTGCCTCTTACTATTGCTTCAAATTCATGGGCTCAGTTCCCTCCTACTTCTTAAAGTCAACCAAGAACCTTCAGGCCACCTGTATCCAAAAACTATCCTGGCTGCCATTATGTCAAACTATTCATTCTAGAACCGAGCAGCTCTTGATCTGTTGAACACCAAAACAATGACAATGGCGTCACCACCCTTACGACCACCATAAACAGAACATCCATTCAATCTTTAAATATGTGCTAAGTACTCTTCTAAGCACTTTGAAATGGAAACACATTTAATATCAACCTTATGAGGTAGGTGTTTAATTAGCCCCAACTTGTAGATGGAACTGAGGTAAGATGTGAGGTGATGTGCTGAAGAGCATACAACTAGGGAGAGACACAGAGGTAATGTTTAGGAAGTGTGGTGGTATGATAGGAGGTCGGGCGGGGGGGCAGCTGTCTAAAGTGGATATGAATACCGTCTCCTACCAATCCATCTTGGAACTTTGGGCTGGGAATGCCCAATCTGCAGACAAAGCCACAGCATCCCAGTCTAGCCTTTTAATAGCTTCTTTGATCTCCACTTCCTGAGCCTAGAGCCATGATGGATCATAAGGGAAAGATGAGAAAGACAACCATGAAGAAAAGGACAGAGAATTCTAGTTTTTCCCAAGGTCAACAGAGATCAGAATGAAATGCCATGCATTGAGAAAATCAAAGAGGTGATAACATTTACATTAAGAGAGTCATCATGGGCCAGTTTAAGGATTCCTACCACAAGGAATTTACACCCACGAGGATGGCTATACTAAAAAAACAAAAACAGAGGCGCCTGGGTGGCTCAGTTGGTTAAGTGCCTGACTCTTGGTTTCGGCTCAGGTCATAATCTCAGGGTCATGGGATCAAGCCCTGTGTTGAGCCCGGCCTCAGGCTCTGTGCTCACCACAGAGTCTGCTTGACCCTCTTCCCTCTGTTCCTCCCCCTGTTCTCTCTTTCTCTAAACTAAATAAAATCTTAAAAAAAATAAAATAAAAACAAAAACAAAAACAAAAACCTGCCTTCAAGAAGAAGGCAGGCTGAGTTCTCAGGTCAACATGAACCTCTATTACCACACCCAATCCCCTTCCCATCATTCCTGGACACTTGGCCACCAAGGGCTTCCCACTTACTTCATTTCAGCAGCTCCTTCAACTCATCTGCCTTTCCCTCTACTCTCATCATTGCTTCCCTGGATCTCTGCAATTTCCTACAGCTGGTCCTTGACAGTGTGCAAGTGAAACCAAACTAAATCAATAAAGTGGATTTAAAAATTACCACAAGTGGGAAGGAATAATTCCCCAAACTATTTGGCCATGTATTCTATCAGTAAAACATTTTTGAGCAAGTATATATATAATTTTCCTTAGAAGTGATATGTTTACACTATTATTACATAATAATATGTCAAGGCACAATGTCACAGATCAGTCATTCACTGGCTCAATGCTAAATCCCAGAGGTGCCCAAATTACAGAACTATACTTCCCTTTCCCTGTCTATATCCAAAATTTCATATATTGAGATATTAGTCTATTTTTTTTTTTTTTTGTCTATTAAAACAAATCACCAACCGAAAAAACACAAACAAAAACCCCACAAATTAACTGGAACTGAGCACGTACTTGGCGAGCTGTTTCTCGGCATCAGCACAGAGTTCGAGAAGCCCCATGAGGACAGCAGACACGTCCATGTAAGGCTCCCAGACGGTGAAACCACGTCCAATCAGATCAATGGCTGTTCTTCGGATCGTACTGTGTGGAGGAAGTTTGGGGCTCGGAGGCTGCAGCAGAAGAAATGTCAGTGCCTTACCTAAAATTACAAAAGAAAAGGCAGAGCAGTGAAGTAATTTTACTTTTGTGATGTTTTCTTTGAAGATATTTTCAAAGTATAAACCACTTTTGATTTCTTATTTATTTATTTATTTTTATTCTTATGTTAATCCCCATACATTACATCATTAGTTTTA